TTCAGCAACTTATGAAGGTTGTTTGAATTTCAGAAACTTAAGAAGTCACAAAAGGCATAAGATCCTTTTTTTCACAATCACCAAGGTTGGTTGGTTGGTTGGTTGGTTGGCTGGCTCGTTGGTTGGTTGGTTGGTTGGCTGGCTCGTTGGTTGGTTGGCTAGTTGGTTGGTTTGCTTCGTGTGACCAGAAGTGGTTTCATGAGGGATCCTTTGTGCCTTGGCTGAGCTGCTCTGAGTTCCATTCTAGTTGTGTCGGTATATACTGGTTTTCATTGTTTAGTGCCTGTAAGAGTTTTGACAGGAATTGATTACAGAATCCTGGGTGATTGATGAGCAGCTTTCCTTCTCTGAACATGTCTCCCAGTTGTGGAGCTTCTCACACACTCACAATATAAGAACAATCCCACCTTATCTGATTCACTATATCATCCCAATACAAAACTTTAAGTCAAGGTCGCTCAGAACATAATGAAAAACTGCCTCTAACTGACTGACTGCTGTAACAATATGAGTTTGTGTGGCTGCTGTAAAGATTCAGAGTCTGAGTTTAGAAAATGAAATACTGTGTGTTGAACAGATGTAGCCTTAAGTTAATTTTATCTCATTGTTTATTAAAATTGTGTGTGTGCGTGTGCGTGTGTGTGTGTGTGTGTGTGTGTGTGCGTGTGTGTGTGTGTGCGTGTGTGTGTGTGAGACATTTCAGATAAGTAAGGTCAGTTTTGTAGCTTTGTTGTAGTTTCTTTGTCTGTGTTGACATTTCCACTTCTCTGCTTGAGTTTAGAATGCAGTCTGCGATCCTTAACCACATTTCAAGACAACAGCAAACAAAACTCTATTTGTTCAGAAGCCTAATTTGTTGTGCATTTCATCTCAGTTTGCTGCTAATTCCTGAAAGACGTTTCCATGAATCACTTTGACCCCGGCACAGAGCAGCATCCCGTTGAAGAGGACAAACCTTCAGAGGGCTGGAGGCTCTTGAAATGATTCGGTTCAGCTGGTTTTCTCCTCAAAGGACAGGAGAAAAGAAAGAAGAGAAAAAAGAAACAGGACATGAGTAAATCCCTGAGGTGTCTCAGGGCTGTGTGGTTTGCCACCCAGACCAAATTAGAAATAGCAGAATAAAACATGCAGAAGCTTGTGAGCATGAAACTTCACTTCAAAAAGGGTCTTGTGTGAGACGCAGAATGAGAACATGAGATTGAGAGAATACTTAGGATGGAGGAAGCAGAGATGGAAGAAGTCAGGGGTAGCGGAGGGTGAGAGAATATGTGGAAGATGTCAGGATGCCTCCTGCTGGCAGTAAGTGGCCCTCCACCTGTGACTGCAGGACGAGAGATGGCAAACATTGTTCCACTCGCTTGTGGGCTCCATCATAAGAACGCCTGTCTGCAGATTTCACACCAGTTAGACATTTTCCTCCTGGACTCATGCGGCATGGCAGTTATGAGCACTGTCGGCTTTTTTACAGTATGCCGTACACACAAAACAAATACGCACATGCACACACTCTCCTTGTCCCATGGAGGTAGCACTCCATCGCAGGCTGCTGACAGAGAGGTTATAAACGACGCTCAGTGGAGCCAAACAACAGAGAGCGAGCAAAAGAGGACAATCCTCCTAAGTTCAGCATTTATCAGCACGCTGCTCAGTGAAAGAAACATTACAGTGTATGTGTGTGGGCTGGGGGGGGGGGCACTGCAGCCATGTCACCACAGGAACTCTTTAAAAGAATTTAATTCTGCAGAATAGCGACCTCTGTGGCCACAACAGGAAAGTAATGTCTACGCAGGAATATCCAACGTTAGCTAACGTTAATTAACACGAGACACCAAAAGCACCATTGTTGCTGAATTCAAGAGATAATTACAATCTACCTCAACTAAGTTCAAAGAATCTTTGGATGTTTTGATCTTTTCACGAATCACATGAAAAGATTGACGCCACTTTCATGATTGTATATCAGAGTGAACATGTTTACTTCATAAAAGAAACTGGGAGGAAAAGAGGGAAAGTCAAGAAAACACAATTAGTTTTTTGGTTTATTTCCAACTGAAGTTTAGATAATCTGGTTTATCTGTTGCCGTCTTCACAACGTGTCACCTGATGCTCTTATGTCTTCACGGGTCCGACCTTGTTGTAGCGACTCGGTATCGTGGGTGTTGTTTGCAGCTTGATTTGTTTGTCTTTTTCACTTCCCGTTAGTGAGAGCGGAGACAGTTCTGGCTTCTTCCTGTGGACATTTAAATAGAAAAGGCTTTGGCTGAGATTCATGACAGCCCTTTGATCTCGACACGTGTGTGTGTGTGTGTCTATGTGTTTGGGCATATGCAAAACGATGGCAAGGGTGCGTAAAGTACCGTAACGTGTGTGTATGTGCATGTGTGTAAAGGTGAGAACATGAAACGCTCTCTTTCATATTTAATGAGTGGAGATGGGGCTAAGGAACGTTGCAGTGTTCACAGGAGGTATTCCCGTGGGCTGTCAGCCTGCTCGCAGCACTCTTTTATATCACTCAACCCTGTGTGTGTGTGTGTGTGTGTGTGTGTGTGTGTGTGTGTGTGTGTGTGTGGTAAACATTTCAATGTGTGTGTGCATCCCACTGAAAGTTTAATCATTTGTTTTGAGGGGATGGGGGCAGGGGTTCAGAGAAGCATATGGCACGTGCATTAGCATTGCACCAGCATTGTTTTGATATGTCTGCTCTGTGGCTGCGAGGGATGGGAGCGTGCACAGCGCTAACTAGGCCAAGGAGTATTATTGAATCTATGCGGTGACCACACAGAACAGTATCAGTGGTGCACAGCTCTTCATTCGTTGTTTCTCTCGAGCTGCAGCTGCGCTCGGCCTCTACCGGACCGGGGGATTTTTCTGGAGGTGGTCTAGCGCTGCCTCTGCTTGTTTCCCTTTCTGATTAGGAAGCGTTTCCTCTGCTCTTATCTCCGCTCTCATCCTAATTAACTTTGCCTCGTCACTAATCAAAGCTCGTGTGATTCCAAGCCGAGCTGCACCGGAACACACTGTCCCCCGAGCTCCGTGCTACACTCACCTCGCATGCAGTTTTGACGAGAGCCTCTCACACTTGGTTTTTGAATGATCATGCTAATATGCTAAACACTGCATGTGGGCATTTGCTTTAAATGCTAATTGTTATGTCCTGAAAAGCAAACAGGAAGTCCTTCCAGACGTGTTTTTTTAGAGTTGCAGTGTCAGGGAGCTGTGGACAGAGGAAAAAGAAGAAAAGGGGGAAATCCTGTCCAGTGTGACTGACGGAGGTTTGACGGCGGATCGTCTTTGATTAGCGGGAACAAAAGCTCGTGTTGCAGCACAGTCCGTGTGCAGAAAGAGGCTGAGAGGGCAGAAATAATATGACTTCCTGCATTCGTGCGGAAGTTTTGAAAAGTTTGAGACCACTTTTAAAATACCAAGTTAAAGCTCTTAATCTGAGCCGACTGGATCTGGTCAGTGTGTGTTGCTCGCATGGATTTGGACATTTATCCTCGCCTCTGGACGAAGGCTAATATCTTCAGTTACTTTTCCTGCCGTGACATTTTCAGAAAGAATTTTCATTTTGTCCAGTATAATTCATCTGCCTGCCCATAGCATGCTAACAGGCTGAACTCACGGTTTGGAGCATAGAACCACAGAGGTCAGTTAATTTTGAATGAAGATGCATTATACGTGCAGGAGGTTTAACACTTGTTTGATTTGAAAATAGTGAGCAAAGTCTCTGTTGGAAAAGTTGTTGCAAATATAGTTATAAAAATGAATTTAAACATATTTTAATCTTCACGATAAATGTGCTATATTCATTTCTACAAACCCTCTCATTAGTAGCTGCCCTGTAGAGAGATTAGAAAAGAAAAAGTGCCGTAACATTTGTCACAGTGTAAAATGATCTGTTCTCGTGAGTTAACGCTTCTGTTTCTTGGACCTGCGGAAGTTTGTTGCCTCAAAGTTGAGGGACTTGTGGACTGAAGGAGTCGAGAATCAAACCACAAACCGTCTGATTCGTGGATTAGTTGTGGGATGTTGTGTAGTTGTGTGATAAGTTCCTTCGAGATTCTTGTGTGGAGGGTTTCCTGCGGCAGTTTAGTCAAAGTTTAGATGCGTATGTATTCAGTAAAAGTACTTGTTGTATTTAATAGAACTCAGAAAGTAGGAATGATGCATGTCTTGATAACAGCAGTTATCAGTTTAAATGTTTTACTTTTTTCTGTTCACTGATTCTTCATGTTTCATGTATTTGTTCACATTAGATCATAGAAATCGAAGTTTGAATATTGATGCTTTGATGCGTCGTCCAAACTCTTCACTAATCAGCTGTGGTGTTTGATCCTTCTGTCATTTGTCACTAATTGACTGTGTTATTGGTCGTGGTATTAATACTTTAGCTCGTAGCATTTTGAGTCGATGGAGCGATACTGTGAAGGTTCGATACCCTGGGGATTTGTGCTCGCTCTAGTTCCTGCTGTTAATCTATGCAAAGTTCCCGCATCAAAACCCAATATTTACAGCGCGGAAGAAGATGCAGCACATGAATATTTCACCAGTTTAAATTCAGCCACCAGATCTTTTTTAAATATTTGGGGTTATTTTGCAAGTTTGTTTCTTGGAAGGGGGAAGCTTTTGATGCGGAGCTTTAAAGAGACAGTAGCCTCTTTAAATCAATCAAAGTGACACGCTGCTGAGAAAACACATCGCTGTGTTTTTATCTCGTGTCTTGTCACCATCAAATTTTTATAAAAGATGAGATTGAAGAATTATTCACAAGAGCGAACATGAGGCCCGCTCGGAAAACACGAGGCGAGCCTTCCAGTTAATGTGTTAGTGCTCCATGAAAACCCTGGTAATTACAGACAGTGAAGTGCTGCTGTAAACTAATTCTGCCGCCGCAATGTTTTCATGTGAGATCGATATGCTGCTGTAGGTGCTCTGAATAAACAAGTCCTTCATTAACGCTGTCTCACTCCTGTTGTGTTGGTTCTTTGTTTTTTTCACAGAGCTTCCATACGGCTGGGAGAAAATCGATGACCCCATTTACGGCAGCTACTATGTCGAGTAAGTCGGGTGCATCTTTAATATATAATGGCTTGCTTTTGATTTTTCAATGCTGCCCGCTGGTGCTGTGTTAATCATATTTTTTAAGGAACAGCCAGGCGCTGCAGCCAGGAAGTATTTGCTCGCTCTGTCTACCTGCTGACAGCTGAGAGGAGTGGGGGGGGGGGGCTGGACTTTAATTTGTCTGCCTGTCCCACATTTTTGTGTCGGAAATACTCACAGTGCAGATTAGCTCATCAGCGCCTCTGTTTGAACATTCTGCACGTGTGTTCACGCACGTCCAGGAACATGGATCCACAAATGCTGCAGAGCTGTTCTCAAGTGACATTTCGTTGGCTGGATGCTCTCAACTCTGGGGCGCGGGGACAAGGATCTATTGTTAGATGGGTGGCGACAGCGTGGGACTGAATTTACTCTACTTTGCGTTAAAAAATAAAAAAAAACTTCAGGATGACACTTGACTATACACTGCTTCATGTACTGCACACACACACACACACACACACACACACTCTCTCCCCCCCTCAAGACGCTCTAGTGTTGCATTGTGGTCACGTAAACATCCAGACCTTGAAATTATGTAACTATAGGTATAAATATAGTTGAGCTGCTCAGTGTGATACTGGGGGTTGTTCATTAAAAAGGAGAACATGTGTGTGTGTGTGTGTGTGTGTGTGTGTGTGTGTGTGTGTGTGTGTGTGTGTGTGTGAAATCTCAAAGAGTGGGGGGAAGTATCTAATGATGACTAATTATGTTACACAGCCAAATTACAGTACTTGTAGTGGACTATCTCCCCTCTTACAAACTAAATGAAGAGGGACGTTGAAGGAAATCACTGTTTCATGTGCAGGTTTCCTCTCAGTCACTGATTCGCACAATTCGGCTAACGAGACGGAAGAATCAGTCGTTTTCACTCAGCAAAGCCTTCCTGCAGCTTTGTTACATAATCTGGGGACCGTCCGTTTAATTAGTCATCACAGCGATAGCGGCGGAAGTGCCACTGTTTTCAGATCTGATCTCTGTCGAGAGGGGGGGAGGGGGCCGAGTTCAATGCAGTGAGACCGTGTGAAATCTAACGTCTCTTCTCTTGTTGTTGCTTTTTTTCTTTTCTTCGTGTCATTAAAGTCATATAAACAGAAGGACCCAGTTTGAGAACCCAGTCCTGGAGGCCAAGAGGAGACTCCAGCAGCAGCAGCAGATGCAAAGCCAGGGTCTGTCCTCACTGCCCCTCCCCACCATCTACAGAGGTAAGACCCCCTCCCTGGTGTCTGAGCTGATTTCTCATGAGTTTCTCTGGATGACGTCAAACCCACGATCTGTCTGAATGTTTTTTATATTCAGTTCTCAAGGTACATATATCTGTATCTGAAAGTCTTAAAGCTTCAAATATGGATTTATCAAACAACCCTTCAGATGACTGTCCAGATCTTACAGTAGTAATATAAAGGCTCTCACAATCCTGCCGACAAACAACAACCAGACGAGGAGAAGATTTAACCTCCGTGGGGAAGGTTAACATTTGATGTGGTTTGGATTGAATGATTTATTTTGAATAACATTATGCAGAGAAATAAATCAGTTAGGCTACACAATGCATTTTAAAAAAAACATGAGAATGAAAGTTATTTCAGTAGCTAGTAATCTTTCTCAACAAAGCAACAACTCATCATAGTGTGAACAGTTTCAAAACAAAATGCAACTCCACTTTCTTTTCCCTCTATCAAGAGAAAACTTGAGAACGATTGTTATGTTGATTGACAGAAACAGAACGGAGTGAAGCGTCTGTGTTTAGATATTAACACTCGTTGGTCGTTTGAATAAAACTCTTCCTGACTGAACATGTGGGATTCTGTGTGATTCACTGTTTTGTTTAATCACTGGTTTGTTGCTGCCTGATTCCAGTGCTCACTCTGCACCAGCAGTAGGATGCACTGCTAGAAAAACACTGTCTGGACTGGTGAAGAGGAGGTTTGTTTCCGTAGTAACGTAGTAGTCCAGAGTCGAGAGCCTGTCTCCGTGGTTACACTCTGTGTACATTCCATTGAGGCTCTCTCTCCTCCCTCTCCCTACCTCCATCCTCCTTCCTCCTCCTCCTTCTTTTCTCTCCAAAACGTCGATGCCAGTGGAGGATGCCAAACCCTGTGCCACCCTCCCCAGATCCGCCCTCACGCAGGTCGGCCCGGTGCCCGAGCGCTGCCACAGCCTGGGCGACCTCTCCCGCTCGCCAACTCTGTGTCGCAGGGCCGGCGTGTACGCTACATCCTCCTCCACCGACGTCTCCCCGCTCCGGCGCGTTCTGACTCGGCGGATGAATATGTGCCCCCACCAACAGCAGCAGCAGCAGCAGCCACTTCACACCTCCGCCTGCGCTGTGGTGCTAGAGCAGCCTGTCTGTAGCCCCTTCTCCCTGTGGCACTTTGTCAGTAAGTAGGCCAAGAGAGAAGCAACGGAGGCTGACTGTCGCCCTCATGGCTGCTTGCGCTCCTGTGACTTACTGTAAGCATGCTAGCTTGTAAGCAAGCTTTCCCCTGAAGGCTGCTGAAGGATTTGTGTGAACCATGACATGTCTTATCGGCTGGCAGAGGCAGGCGGAGAGTGTAATCACTCAGTCGATGTGTCTGAACCAGTGACGGCAAACAAGGGATGTTAACTAGAACACTAGCCACGACTCTTTTCTGAGGTGAAACGATGGGAGACTTGTTTAAGTGTGACTAAGCTTGTTGGCTGAGATCCTCTCATTCTGCACAAGACGCTTCTCCTCCAGAGGTCCCCCCTCCCATACACCCACCCACCCACCCACCCAACCAGCTCTCCCTCCTCCAGTAATCTCCCAGTTCCTCCCTAACCCTCCCACGCATCTTCTCTTGGAGCCGATCCCTGATTGACAGCATGTCATGTGCCGAGTGTTGCTTCTTTTGGTTTCCTCTGGACGGGACTGAAGACCTGCACCCCTTCACACCCCAGCATGGGAGGAGAGGAACAGACGACTGCTTGGTGTTTTCAGGAGGGATTTTTTTTTTAATTTGTACTTTGCACGGGAGCCAAATCTGTTGAAGCCCACATGCAGCTTCCAGCACCGCAGCCTCACCTCTGTCCAGAGTTATTTGTTTTGCAGTTGCGATCATCCCCTGCCAGTTTTCCTGTGGCTTCACCTACTGGATAAGCTTTACCCATGCCTCCACCCTGTGAGCACTGCCCCGCACCAAATCTGAGGTCCTTTCAACCTTTGCCATGAAGCCTGTGAAGTATTGATGTTTCCATGTGGTTATTGTGTTTCTCTCTTGTGCTCTTTGTAGAGAAGCCGCTGTTCACGCGGGACCCCACTCAGCTGAAAGGCAGCTTCTTGTCCACGTCGCTCCAAAAGAGCAACATGGGCTTCGGCTTCACGATCATCGGAGGCGATGAGCCCGATGAATTCCTCCAGGTCAAGAGCGTCATCCCCGACGGGCCGGCCGCAGCTGACGGGAAGATGGCCACAGGTGAGCGACGGAAACACAAAGCAGGGAAGCTCACAAACAAAAAAAACAACTTTAAGATAAGATAATTTATCTGTGTGGCCCATATTCACAAATCATAATTTGTCCCATAGGGCTTAACAAGGTGCAACATCCTCTGTCGTCATGTTCGGATACTTTTATAAATATGACAAAAACTGTTTTATCGCAGTAAATGTCGGCATTAAAAATCCATACGCTTGAAAGTTTGACTCCTGCATCTCGTCCACATATTAGTGCACATCCACAGAAGTGTTCAAACCTCCCACTTTACACATTTACCTTTTTTAATGCACGAGAGCCGACAATTCATCAAACCTGCGCAGCAGAGATGAATGCAGCTTCCTGTTCAAGATGAAATATCTACAAGTGCAGTCCCCCATTCAAACACAAATTATACAAGTAATGCTAATGTGGTTCGTGTGTGCGTGTGTGTGTACGCGTGTGTGTGTGTGCAGGTGTATCTTGCCAAGCTTGCACTGTACATCCATATATGTGTGTTTATGCGTGTGCACCAACTGCAGAGTTTTTGTTCCCCCATTAATCATGAAAGGGACTTTATGAGCACTGCTGGTTGAGGCCACATGGGGTTGGACTGCAGCACATGTGCACACACACGCACACACACACACACACACACTAGAACACACCAGCTTTTGTCAGGGGAATAGAAGAAGCAGGTTTTTTTCCGCTGTTATCAGCATGTGATTATGTTTCTATCTGTACACTCTAGAGCAAGCGCAGAGGTTTTATTGGTCATTTATCAAACATTACTGAAGATAGAACT